TAATATTCAATTGCAAGTAATGATTACATTTTGAATTACAATTACATTTGAATTAATTGCAATTACTTGTAATTGTTATTAAAGTTTTGCCAATTACATGTAATTTAGAAATTTTTATTTAGAAGTAATTGTAATTGGTTAGTATATAATTACTTGTAATGTATTACTTGTAGCACTAACCAATTACAATTACTTGTAATTTAAAATTCCTAAATTACATGTAATTGTAATTGCAAAACTTTTATTACAATTCCAAGTAATTGGTATAGATTTAATAATAATTTGTTATTACAAAGTTACACATTACAAGTATTTGTAATTGACCAAGTAATGAAATATTTTGTGAAATCATTACCCCAAGTTTGGTAATATTAACACAACCTTGACCATTTTTTACAATTTTAATTATTTTCTATGCCAAATAATTTCCATATAATTGTTTCCCCAAACATGCAATTGCAAAATTACAACTTAAGTATTTTTCTAAATCTTTTGCCAAACAACCAGTAATTATACACATCTTTAATTTTAATTACTAGAAAAATTCAGTAAACAAAAAGATAATGCAATCTTATCTAAATTTTATTTATTTACACATTAAATATAAAAATTGTGCAGAAAAATTAATAAAATTCTCTGAGAAATAAAAACAAAAACAATAAATCCCCCTTGAAAGAAACCAACTGGCGGCAAAGAAAAAATAAAAGTTTTTAAGCTCAAGCCAGGCTTATGTATTATACAGACAATGGTGTGAAGTTTCATTTAATTATATTTAATAAGTTAATAACTGCTGTGGTTAGTAAAGAAGTTCGACAAATGGAGAAGAAAAATGAATAAGAAAAAGAAACATTGGCGGAAGTTTTAAATGGCAAAGAGGGCGTGAGATAAGTGGCTTGTATTATCATTATAATTTCTATAACTCTTTTTGAAATAACAAAAATGATGATTTCAAATTTGAAAAATCTTTGATTTAAACAAACATTTTTAAATTTTAAAATTCTGTTTAACATTTTGTTTGTAAACTGTCACTGCTGCTGACAGTTTCAATGATAAAGCTTAATATTCAAATGCATTAATGCTAATGACAACTTATATAACGATAATGTCATTTACTGTTATTACTGCTTTTGCTGCTGCTATTGCTCTTATTTATATTTATACAAATAAAAGCCTTTGGGGTTTTGGCAAAAAGTAAAGGGACACTTTACCCACATCGTCTACTTTATGCACTTGAAGAAACACAAAAACAAATTATAGAAAATTAAACCAGCCAACGAGGCAGGAGTTTAGACCGGAAATTGTTTGAAATATAAGAACTTGACAGTTTTTTTACTTTCGTTGTTGTACAAAACAGATATGTAAACCATACTTGAACACTCTCATATTTGTATAACAACTACTATATTGTTTATGTTGTTGCTGACACTGCTACTGCTGCTGGTGGTGGTGTTGCTGCTGTTATTTTTTTTTGTTATTGTTCACATCAAGACAATAGAGGTAATAGCAGACGATTCTATAACATGTCCACACATAAGAATGGCCACTGATAAAGAACCCAATGCAGACAAGATGCAAATATGCACATTAGACTGGTCCTTGAAAACAGATATGCTTAGCAGTCATTCGAAGTTAAGATTTAACATAATACGGATGCAACTACATTTACATATATAGCTATGAGTGTAACGACTAGAATATAGTTGAATATTTTAATGAAGTCATCTTCATAGAGTGATTACTATGACCATGTTATGACATTTCACTTATAACTGAATCAAATTTTAAAACAATCTGGCAATTAAAAATTGTGTATACATTGTTACTTTTTTCTAAATTCTTCTAAAAGTTTCCTTTTAAAATTATCTTTATGTTTAAATCTAGTCTTTAAGGACAGGTCTAATATAACTTTTTATATATGTGGAAATATTTCCCATTATCATAAACAATACATTTTTATCATTATGAGAGAATCAAAGCATTCGTTTTTCTTTTGCCTTGTTGTATATATGATGATTCTATACGTAACTAGAAAATAAAAGGAGTCGACGGAGTATAGTATGTGTACGGAATACATGCAAAATAATAATAAAAGCCCACAGAAAACAAGCCATAATAATGCCATCATGCTATTTAAACAACTAAATACTTTAGGAGGAAAAAATAATCATACCACACACTTTCACATTCATGTGTTGCACGTACACCAACACTGGCAAAACACATACACATGATGAGTTCATGATGCAACATGGCCAACCGAACAGATATAATTGTAAATGGATGGATACTAAAAAATAAAATGTTTTATTTTTTTTAGCAAACATACATACATACATATTGTAATAGTAAAGCAGAGATTCTTAATTGTTGTTTTCGGCGAGACAAATAAATGACGTTCAAATGAACATTTCGACGAAAATTCAAAATATATAGTTGGGTATTTATTATAATATCCTGCAAACGGCATTATCATATGTACAAGATTAAACTTATGTTAAAATCGGACAAGGTATAAATAAAATATTTCCCCAATTAAGAGTCTTTCAAACTAACATTTCGATCAAAATTTTAAATATGTATGTTCTTTGGCAGTCATGGAAAATTTTGTACTTTTTTTTAGTATTTTTGGTGTCGAAAAATACCGCGTTATTTTCGGTACTTTTTCTAACGTATACATTTTTGATTAATAGTCCACATATTAGACAAAATACCAGATTGTAGTCTAGTTTATAGTATAGTCTGTAGTCTAGTCTATAGACTACTCTCTACTATAGTCTATAGTATACTCTAAAGACTAGTTTGTAGTCAAATTTATAATCTGGTCTATAGTCTAGTTTATAGACTAGTCTATAGACTATATAGTCTAGTATATATTCTGTAGTATTGCCTGTATTCTAGTCTACAGTCAAGCCTATAGTCAAGTCTATAATCTTTTCTATAGACTTACCTGTTGTTTAGTATTTCTTCTTATATACTGAACTGCATAACCTACAAACTGCATTATCAAATGTTTCACCTTAAACTTATTTTAAATTTGCACAAAATATTACTCTATGGGACATACATATATTCAAAACCTATATTCGCTAGGGAAGTTGATATGAAATCGAACTTTTAGTTATAGCAAATTTACATTCATTGTCCTGTCAAACTTTTTAAATATTAATTTCTAGATTGATTAATTCAAGCTTAGTACAAATATGTTGTTTTAAAACCTTCTAAGAATCACTGTATGCATAAATTTGAGAACAAGTACCTTGAAAAACTCAGCACCATTGAATGTAAATTATGGCAATAAATATGTATGTAATTTTTGTATAAATACAATATGTATGTAAGATTACATGCATACATATGCATAGATAAAGTTATATGTATCTATACAGGAACAGTGGTCGGCACAAGGGAATTTTTCGCACATAATAAGCATCATTCGTTCATGTTAAAAAGCTACTAATTTGATATTTGTTTTTTTTTTTTGTATTATACAGCTTCCGACCCCTGCAAACAATGAATACCCACCATCGAGCTAGAGCAAAAAAACACTTTCAAACCGACTAGGGTACATAACAATAACAAGTAATTGTTCTACAGACTACAACAAAAAAAGTTAAAACGTTTGAATTGCAGTAGTACTCGAACTCATTCATACTGGCAGTTTTTTTTTGTTTTTGGTACATTTGCATCTTCATTTAGTATGGAGTCAGCAAGTAGAGATTTCATTGTTTTAAGTTTTTTTGTTATTGTGATGATTATTAAGATCAAAATTATTTACTTAAGATTTTAGTATGTCGACATACATTCTAGGAAGACAACGCCACTACACTCCAGTCATACGTTTATCTACTTACTTGTACGAGTAGAACAATTTTTATTTTATAAAGTTATTAAATATTTTTTTATACTCATAGTACATGTGTGTGCTTGAGGAAGACAATGAAGTAGAAAACCAGATAATAATAATTGATAATAATACTGATGATAATAAAAATTATGTGTGTTCTTAAAAATGTTAATTTCTTTGTTCTTGCTGTTTTGAGTTGTTGTAGTATAAAAAGAGATTAAAAGTTTTAGATAAAACTTAACTTATATGAGGAATGAAAATATGTATTTATTTTTACTTGGAAGTACCTACTACAAGTTCAAATGTAGTATTACTTAATAGAGAATTAATTTTTTAAGACAGTTTTAACCGATATATGTAATTCGACAGATTACTTTTATATTTTAACTCAAATTTGTGTAATGTTTAAAAATTACTACAGAACAATTAGGAAAATTTGTATGTACCGGTTTGATTGGTTGTCAATTATGTCATTTAAGCAGAAACTTAATGAGTTTGAAAATCGATTATTCTAGAGTAACCTGGGCCCGTATTCAGAAAGAAGAATGTAAAATAATATTTAAAATTTTATATGAAAAACACTAACATAAACTGAGTAGTTTTCATACAAAATTTTAAAAATTGTTTTCTTTTCTTCTTTCTGAATTCGGGGACTGGTACCCATACAGTCCAATACGGTCTTAGATTTAACTTTATCACCTAATATCGCTTTAAAAGTCTTTTTTATGTTAACCCCTGTTGGCGCTATATTTATTCTAATCCAGTTTAAACATTCAGTTACTGTACAGTTATTAGTTAGACGATAGTTTAATTCTCTTGCTGGGTTTTCAATGCAGAACCCCAAAACAGGAGTCCTACGGGTATTTGCTCTAATAATCTGCATGACAATGATATTCTAATTGGGATTAGTGTTTCAAGGATCAAAGATATGTTTGGTATGCGATCAGGCAAGTTCGAAGTTTGTGTATAGACTTCCAAAGTATTCAGTGTACATTGCTGATGTGATGCACATTTCCCCTAAAGTTTAGAAACGTCCGGTTGTAAGTGCAGCCTTGTTTCTTATATTATTATTTCAAATTTGCAAAACGTACTTTATTCTTTATTTTTATTTTAATAAACATTTTATAACCTATTACCATTTTCTTTTTCTTTCTAGGTAAGTGAACGTTTTTATCCTTTAAACATGCAATGAAAAAGTAGATCTGTTGTAAGTAAAATACACAAAAACACTTAACATTTTTTCAAATTATGTAATATCACTCAATAATTAGGTATGAATACACTCTGAGAAAAAATATGTTTAAACAAGGTCAGAGGGCATTTAATAATATTTTATATTTCATATTATATTCATCGTTCAACTGACTGTTCAATCATAATTTTTCTCTGCGTGTATTACTTCTTATTATCATTAAGGCATAACAATTTGAAAAACAGATTCTTTTAACCAAAAGCTTCTGGACTTTTAAAAGACAAGCGTATAATTAAATCAGATGACAGAATTATTGCTTTCAAATTATTGTTAATGAAAATACTTACTTTCATTTTCATAACTACAACGATAATAGCTAACAAATCTACAGACATTTTCTTTTCTTTTTATTATTATTATATTTTTTGTGATGTTTTCCTTGAAAATTTCGAAAGGTAAGATTGGGGAGGCCACAGCAGGAGTAAATAATAAAGTGCTTAGGGATGCTGGAGAGAATGCATTAAAAAGTTAACAAACAATATTTTATGTAAATATATTATGCTACGAATAATAGTTGTAAACTTTATTATTTCAAAGCAATTGTTAAAATTTCTTAGTTGTAAAAATATTTTTGTTGTTTTAGTTCCTTTGGTATTAGTAACCAACTACCAACAACAACAACTGCCAAAAAATAAGGAAAACTTGCTGCTTTTTAAACTTTTTTCGATTTTTTGCTTTTGTAAAATAAACACTGATTAAATCAAAGTGAATTCATTATAAAGTTGCTACTTTGGGTTTGCTGTTACTACTCCCTGATGAAATTGTTAAGATGGGTATGATGTTGCAGCTTGAGCTTGATGATGTTGCACATTTAATGAATGAATGTAAACTGTAAGAAAATTTTGCACTTTTATTTTAGTTCGTTGTTCTCTAATGCATCAAAACCATTGTTTGTGTGCCTTACGTGGCAAACATTGAAAATACATTTTTTTTGTCTCTTATTCATTTTCTTTCACATTCATTCATTTATTCTACTTACTTAAGTTTTCTAAGAGAAACTGAAACCAATTAATAAATTTTATGCAACTTTTCTTTTTGTATTTTCCTCTAGTTTTCTAACAATTTTTATCTGTTTTTCTTTTTCCAACAACATGTTATTGTTTTCATTGGGATTTTATGCAAATATGTATAAAGAAAGAATACCGGGAAAAAAGAAAAGTTTTTTTTTGATATTTTTATTTTTAATAATAAGAGTTTATGGTGTGTTGCTTCTATTAGATCAAAGCCAAATGGGCGTTAGAAAAATTCTCTATGAAATTTCCAATTTGTTAAAGTATTGAAATATGTAGTTAGTGAGTTAATATGAGAATTTGAATTAAATTTTATACAAATTTTAATTTCATATTAAGAAAATGTTGCATAATTTTTAGGCTTCTATATTAGCAAAAATACGTTGCATAATTTCAGGCTTGGTTAAAATTTGTAACTAAAGGAACTTCATAGATTTAAAGTAAGAAAGCAATAAAATTGTCAACAGAAATATTTAAATGATTCACATTAAAAAACGTTGCCTACATCCAGGCTTTGCTATAATTAAGCTAAATGTTGCAGCATTAAATTCTAAATTAACTTTTGCCTAAATTTTGTTGTTTAAATTTAACTTGCTGTCTGTTAGTAATAATTAGAACCACAACAAACCTAAAATTTACGAAAGCAAAAACTGAAAAAAATTCTTAGAAAAATACACCAAGAAAATACAAATTTGTTTTTTAAGAAAAATTTAATAAACAATCTACCACCACATCAGTCAAATACATAAAATCTGTTTTTCTAACTGCAACACACAAGCACTTTTTAACTGATTACGTTGCTGTTGCTGCTCTAGACGACATGCAGCAAAATATATTTAGCTTTAATATGCTTAACTAACACACCAAACTCTTGACTGGATGTGAGAGAAATTGAAAACCTTATAAAACTGTGCAGCAACAAAAATGAATAGTAAAAAAAAACGAAAGGAAATAAATAAAATAAACATCAATAAACGTTTCGTTTAAATTTTTCATTCGTATGCATAACAAGACTTAAACATTTTGTACTTTTTTTTTCATTTTATTCCTTTCTAATATTCTAAACTAAACTGTGTGCATGCATTTTTATCGTCGTTTTTTGTTGTTTTTGTTGCTGCTTGTAAATGGCGAAATAAACAATCATAAACAACAAACATGCATACAACACCATTTAGTTAGCAATACATACATACACATATTCACTGAAACATTTACTAACACATGTATTTCTCACTCTTGCAACAAATTTTAGTTAAAGAGAATAAGGACTCAAGTAGCAATGTTTCTTTGGTAACATAAACAATTGCTTATTATTGTACTTGTTGCAACATTGACAATTGCAAATTGCAAAGAAAAATTTAAACCATTTTGCATGTTGCAAATATGCAAAAGAGTGTAAATTTCATTCAATATGTAGTTTATTGTTAGATTGCATCATTTGCAAGACTATTTGCCACACTCATCATCGATCTGTAAAATTGTTTATATCTAGTTTCCATTTGTTTCACCAAACTGAAACTTAAGTCCTTTTTCACATAAACCCCATAACACTAACAACAAATAATAATAGTAATAAAACTAACAACATGGAAATAAAAATGAAAAAAATTGCAACTGCAAACAAATATAGTGGCCACAAATGGAAAAGCCACAATTTAGCACAATCAACTTTAAATAAAAACAAAACATTTAGCAGCATAAAAACCCTGCAAAAACAGACAACCTCAAAAAAAGCGCTCCCCACTTTGCAACAAAAAAAAAAAAAAAAAACGCCAAAATTTAACAAACAAGACCCAAACAATCCTTAACTGCAATGGGTACAAATGGCGCAGCAAACACATGTTGTAAATACGCGCTTATTTTACTTTTAGTATTTTATTTTTTTTTTTTGTTGTTGCTGTTTTTGTTACAACAAAACGTGACTTGTATTTTGAAAAACAATTGTTTTTTTTTTTTTTGTTTTATTATAAATTTCAGCTATTTCTGCCATTTTGTTGAAATGCAATTTTTTAAAAGGTTTCTTTTTCTACTTCTTCGGTTTCCCAGAAGAGAGCGGTTTGTAGGAGTGTGTGTACTTAGTAGCAGCATTTGTTTAGAATTATAGTTAGTTGTAGAATTCCTAAGAACAATTTAAATCAAAAAAATATTTTTTCACTTTTGCACAAACATATAATTTTGTTAAATAACACATATACATAAATATATAATTTTCCAGAGTTTTTCTGATTTTCAGTTTCTTTGAAATTAATTTTTTTCAGAAAATTCTAGTTCAGCGACCAGACACAGAAAGCCTAAAAGGCTTCATTTTAAGGCGCCCCACTTAAAGTTTTCTCTTCTCTTTGGGACAGTTATAAATATCCCACACAAGGGGTGTGTATAAAATTTAAATAACAACTAGTTATCATTTTGACAACCACCGTTGTAATTTTGACAACGCATAGTTGTCATTGCAACAACATATTGTTGTCATTTCGATTACGCTTTGTGTCAATTCTTCAATGCAACGTTGTGGTTTCGACAACGAATCGTTGTCATTTCGACAACGCAACGTACTGTTTGACAACATGGCGCTGTCACTTGGGCAACACATTATTATACCCTACACCACTTTAGTGGGGAGGGTATATTGGATTTGTGCTGATGTTTGTAACATACAAAAATATTCGTCCTAGACCCACCTTAAAGTATACCAATCGGCTTAGAATCGTTTTCTGAGTCGATTAAGCTATGTCCGTCCGTCTGGCTGGCTGGCTGTCCATGTAAACCTTGTGCGCAAGCTACAGGTCGCAATTTTCAAGATAATTGAAATTTGGCACGCACGTTTGATTTGACCCAAGGACGAAGCCTATTGAAAATGGTTAAAATCGGTCCATTATTTCACCTAGCCCCCATAGAACAGAACCCCCCGAAAAGGGCTTCTGAGCTCATAATTATGTTAAATATACAGATATATCGATAAAATACGGCACAACTAAGTTTTATAGAAGTCTTGATGACCCTGCCAAATTTCATAAAGATCGGGCCCCATTTGACCCTAGCTCCCATACAAAGTCCCCTTCAGAAAATTACTTGAATGTCCCAAATTAACTTATAAACACAAATATCGCGATGAAATTCAGCACAATGAAATATTATGTAAATATAAATATATTCACAAAATGTTATCGGGCTTGGTCCATATTTGCCCCTAGCCCCCATATAAAGCCTCTTTCAGAAAATTAGTTTTTCATTCATAAATTGCTTAAATGTATCGGAACAAGGGAATATTGAAGATAAATGCTTTATTATGAAAAATAAATCATATTTAATATTCATAATTGGTGTAATCGGCCACGCCCGACTATACTTTCTTACTTGTTTTTTTGTTGATTTGAAAACGTCGTGTATTTTTAATATTTTTGTTGTTGATTTGACAACTATCCGTACATACTTTGACAAAGGATGTTATTGAAAAATTATAAACACTTTGGTGTCAATTTGGTACCAAGCGTTTATAATTTTAAAACGTCTTTTTCCCTCTGGGAAAGGAAATTAACAAAAAACGTATTCTTTTGAGGTAACGACTACTACTAGTTCTCTTACTTAGTATATGCACATATTAAAAGAATTGAAATCTATACTAACTTGGAATAGTACTTATTATTTGAGACTTATTTGTACCAAAATTAGTTTACAATAACCGGTACTATTTTACATTAATCCTCAAAGAACTTCTTCGCGTTAGAATAGAAAATGTATTTCATGAATTTCAGACTAGAATCACAAATCGAATTTTTATATCTACTACTTTATAGCAACTTTGTCTAATAACAGTTAAAAGGAAGATTTATTTATTTTGTGGTAGTTCTGGTTATAAACTATTCAAAATTATTTTATTTAAAATTCTGATTCTATAGCAATTTTTTCTTACACACCTTAAAATTTACAACAGCAGCAGCACTCTGTTATAAATATTTATGCGAAACGCATATT